ACAATTGGTGGCTGACTAAATACTTTTTTTCCCCACTGTATATATATATATAAATATATATATTTTTTTTATACGTACACTCTCATAAGTTTGGGGGTCAGTATTTTTTTTAAAGAAATTATTTTTCTGTTAGGATGCATTAAATTGATTAAAAAAAGACTGATTAAAATATTTAAATTTCAAATAAACACTGTTCTTTTTATTCATCTAAGAATCCTGAAAAAATTTGTCACATTTCCACAAAAATATTAAGCAGCACAACTGTTGTCAACATAATAATAATAATAAGAAATGTTTCAACCAAATCAGAATATTAGAATGATTTCTGAAGAATCACATGACACTAAAGACAGGAGTAATGTTACAATTACATTTTAAAGAATGGTTCTAATAATGTTTCTCAGTATTACAGTTTTTAATGTATTTTCTCAAACTTTTGAATGAAAGTGTAATATAAATATATTGGTGATGCCTCGGTGAGCATCTGATGAGAACCTTTAAAAAAAGTCTTACAGACCCCAAACTTTTGAATGATATGATAGTGTGAGTACATGTGTGTGTGTGTGTGTGTGTGTGTGTATGCATGTGTTTACAGTGTAGATAGATAGATAGATAAAGACTGTTGATCTTCTGGTCTTGTATGCTCCTTAGTAGTGCAGATGTACCACATGTCTTGCTTTTAAGAAGTTGTGGGGGTGGGGTCACGTCAAGGTCAAGATCACCCCTCTCATACCCCCTTGACTTTTGAAGTCATGTGTGTGCCCTGCACTCCAAACTGGATCTAGTCTGAAGTCAGGCTCAATTAGCAGCTAGCTCGCCTTTGACTAAAATGATGTCTTCTCCCCCACAGTCTCGGAAGGGAAACGAACCAGACAGGGAGAAGAAAGGGATGGATGGCCGCGCAGACAGCATTGGAAGTGGCCGTGCTATCCCAATTAAACAGGTAGGGTCTGGCTGGCCGTCTGGACTGGTATAATTGGAGTCCAGCAGTGGCGTATTGTGGACGAAGGGCTTCAGATCAGTACTCAGACCCACGCAAAGCCCGTTTGATGCCATCTCCTTGATTAACAGTGAAAGCACGCACTTGACATCAATTAGAGCCAGAATTTCAAGAACTTGGCACGTGTGTTTTAAAAAAGATTTTAAAACAAAATTATTTTATATGTCAAACAATAGACTTCATAGCAAAATTTAAGGTAAGGCCATTTTCTGCATGCATATGAACTTGAGTCTACAATTTCTACTTTGTTTTATTTGAGAAAAAAGACGTTTCATTTATGACACTATTGTTGTCAGATAGCTGATTTGTAAGGTAGAATCAATCTTGACAGCTCCTTTGGAGATTTTGGCCTTTTCAAGCAGATGCCTATTGTTCCCCACATGGAAAATATAGCTCCCCAGGAGCTTTACCAAGATGGCCACTGAGTGAATTGCCCGAAAGGGACTTTGAAGGTACTTCGTTTTCGAGGCACACAAGCGATTGCTAATGCTGCCAGCAGTGATCTCTCACCTCCTGTGGCTCTATTTGCATGAATCCTGTTAAAATCAGTGGCAGTTAATGAAGAAGAAATGAGGCTGGCCCGGCTACAGCGGTGCTGAGAGCAGGGCACCGCACTAGTGGCAGATGGGAAGGCTGAGCCGTGGCAGGCAGCTGTGTGGAGGAGAGAGCAGCATGCAGTTTTAACTATGATCTGACTCTCTTCCGACTGGGCTTGTGCTGCGCTAATTTGTATGTTCGATGCCAAAAGCGATCAAGACGATAACGCGTGTTCTCAAGAGAGAACAACCGTGTTCTATGACTTCATTCAGATAGACACGAGGCATGATTGTGATTTGAATTTGTAATATGTACTTAATTATAATAGAGAGTTCTCATTGTGTGTGCTAGTTTTATATGTATGTTAGAGAGCCTTCGATATAGTGAGACATTAGTCGATAGAGAGTGTGCCGCACGGGGGGGCCTGGCGCATAGCCATATCTCTGAAGCATCTCTCAGCCTCTTGACATTGCAGGTACATTAATGAGGGATTAATTTCCTTGGTGTCAGACAGAACCTACCCCACGCTTACTTGTATGCGCACACACTTATGCACACACTCGTGTGCTGATCAGAAGCCCCATCAGTGCCCGTGTCCCTCATCTCATGAGAAGATCAATCAACCAGCTCAATCAAAGCTCACCAGTCTCTGCAGTCCACAGTGTTTCAGTTCTCCCTGCTGTCCTCTCGCTCACTCGCTAGTGCTTTAGATTCATGCTGGTCCTTATTGTATGCCATTGGCTGGCCCACACATACTTTTTTGTAGTTTTTTTGCTGACTCTTTGGGGAGAAAATTGGTAAAGTAACAAATTTAAATAAGACTGCCCATTTTGGGTGGGGGGGAATCATATTGCAGTTATTTTTTTCATATCTGCAACTGGGATTTGAACTGCGATATGATGACCATTTACTGCTTCGATATCCAGGCAAAATAAAAAAAACTCATGCAGTCACGTTGTACCTGTACTTTAATGTGGACTCAAATCTCTTTTTAGTTTACTTTATATTGATCTTGGAACTTGTCTTAGCCTTCTTTTAAATTACAATTTTTTGGAACCCAATCAAGATGAATATTAAATTGTATATATATATATACAGTGGGGCAAAAAAGTATTTAGTCAGCCACCAATTGTAAGGGCTCCTGATGTTTTGTTTATAGAACATGTTTTGTTTATAGTCATATAGAACAGCCACAGGCTCAGCACCCGCCTACTTCCACTCACTACTACGAATTTACATCCCCTCCAGAAGTCTGAGATCCGCTAGTGAGCGACGCCTCGTGGTACCATCACAGAGAGGCTCAAAATCACTTTCCAGAACATTCTC